TACTCGAAGATGAACTCGAAAGTATGATAAACATTGACCAAGATGACAACATAATGTTAATATATCCAAGTTGGGCCAGCTCATATACCCAAGGATGCGAGCTCGTTGAGGTTTCGGCAGCCATATGGCCTGTTGTGTTAATGCCGTAAGTTTCTGGGCATTTTTTGAAATCTGCTTGATAATTACGAGCTGATATTTGAATGACATGGTTCTTTGAAAATTAGAAAAGGATAAGGATAAAGCATTTGCCGTTGATCAATCCCTTTTTGGGATGCGGCACGCATTCTACTTCCATTTGTACATTCGTAGTGGCGTTTGAATGCGATGTGGCCTATACAATGACTTGCGGGGGCCAGCCGATGTACAAGTCAGTGTTTTTATCCTCCCAGACAAGTCTGGTACCAATTAACCGACCCCGGAGGGATGGAAGGCTTGGTTGGCCCGGGCGACTCACGACCCAGGATTTGATCCCCGGACCGCTCGCGTGGTAAGCGTGCCACTTGCCACTACACCACCACTTCCGCCCTTTTGAATGAATTTAGATGCGTGCCGCATCCCAAGGGGATTAATCAAAATGCTTGATCATTATGCTGCTCCTAAGATTAGACAGCTTAGAAAAAATTATGGGCTGATCTAAATTCTGGGCTGGGCACACTCTTTTTCTTTTCACTCCCATAAACATGTGTATGAAAAGAATAATAGAAGTAAATACGAAGGCACAAAATTTTCTTTTATATTACAATAACAAGCCCTTCAAGTTGGAATTCTGCTCCTACCTAAATTACCTTCTACTTACTGGCTTTTAGTGAAATTTCTTTGTGTTATTCATGTTTTTGTTCAATGACTAAACCGTATAAGGTAAGGAGGAGCGTGTTATTATGGCTGTCTGCTGTTAATCTGTAGAAGGTACACTGCCATGATACATAGATTTGCATATTCAACCATGGCTTACCATAAAGTGAGCATATTTTGTGAACACATCCTAAAAAATACCTCAGTGCAACAGCACTACTTCGACCGCATGCTGTGGAAACACCAAAGAAATGAATAAATCATGTGAACAGTAGGTTTGTCCGAATTCTGAATTTATGAGAAAATTTTGTGGAAAGGGCGCATAATTCTTGCAGTCGGAGGATGCCGTTTTTTGTTG